TTCCTCATTAACTACATCCAACAGTAACTTCTTGTTGGATCCAATGTATGTACGACGGGCTTCTCGTGATTTCCGAAGCACATTACATTCTTATCCGGATGTGAAAGATCTTGTCCGTACGGTTCCCATCAATTGCAGATTCCAAGGTGGGGTGTACAGTATACCCCCACATAAAGAATGGCTGTCCACCGTCAGATTATAATCATCCACTCTTACCATGTAATTTCTTCTTCTTCTTTTTTAAGAATAGGAAGAAGAAAAAAAAGAAAACCCTCCGAACCTGCAAAAACGTGGGCCCACTTTTCGAAACAGTATCAATCTTTTCTCGATACGCATACGGGCTACGACCATACTCCTTTTTTTTTTTTTAAGATGATATAACGAGGAAGATTCAGAAAGTGACACGTGGGGAAACGTGCAAGGAAGGGCAAGTTGGGAAAGAGACGAAGTTTGATTTTCGAGGAGCGGCGTCAGAAGGAACCAATTAACGGCCGGGACACGGCGGCCTACTTGACCGTGAAACAAGCGGCGAAAGCTGACGTTTGTTTGAGGGATATAATCTTTATTTGTTCTCGCATAGCTGCTTCTGGAAACGTGTCGCTGACCCTCGCCGAAAATGAAAGCCGGCTAAAACTGGCTTAGAGAGTGGACCGTATAGAGGAAGTGGGCTCCACAAAATTAAATGCTTTAAAAACATTTCTTTCTCGACGGGTGAGAATTGCGAAAAGGTCCACCGAAATTATCTAATGTCGCCGAGGGCTGGGCTCTATGCCCTAACGTTTTGTTTGGTATTTATCAATTTTATAAAACTATTTAAATCTTGGGTAAAATACATAATAGTTTCTTCAAGTAGGGGGTGCTTAATGACTTGAGTATCTCGTGAGCGGTCAAAATTCGGTAAATGCTTAACTCGAGTTAGTTTGACTCGAATTCAAATTTGACTCGAAACCTTAAAGAGCTGAGTCAAATAAAGTCTAACTCGACTCGATAAGTTCGCGAGCAGCTCGTTAATTTTTTAAAATATATTTTTTGTAATTACTTCAAAATTATTTCATTCAAAAAATAATTCTAAATAATAATTATTAATTATTAATAATAATAATAAATAACAAGTTAACTAATCTATTATTTTAATAAATAAAAAAATTATTAATTAACAATATTATTTTAATATAAAAAACCCTAATATCCTCATATAGTATTAGTAAATTTTATTTTAGTTAAAAAATAAGGAAAATTGTTTAGTGAACTTAACGAGCAACGAGTAAAGCTTAACGAGCAACGAGTCGAGTTGAACAACAAATTTTTTTAATGAGCATGAGTCAAGCATAATTTTAACGAGCTTAACGAGCAATGAGTTTAGCACCCTTATTTCAAGGTAAGATATTATTTTATTAATTGTTCGATTAAAATTATTAAATAGTCTTCTAATTGTATAGAGAAGTTTTGTTGAGTACCTCGACTATTATAAGTAAATAAATAATGACTTGATTATTCATGTTCTAAACTCGTTGTTTTTTTATAAAAAAAATAGATTGTCGTCTAAATTTGACGCTAACCTATTAATTGATATATGATAAAATATGATATTAAAATTGTTTGAGTTGTATTTTATGGATCGATTCTCCAATTATATTATGTCGTTAGTCAATGCTTGAAAGTAATGACGGTATCAACATCATTAAAATATAATTTATCATATCTCAATTAGTATTCTAAGGTTCAGCTCAGTGATCGTCAATATTTTGGCGGAAAATGATGAGTTTAAAACATATGAATATTTAAATGACTATTTTGTAACTTTTAATAGTCAAGTGACTCAATAAAACAACATCATCGAATCGCAAGACCATTCTTATATTTTACCTTAAATATTAGCAAGTAATTCAATAAAACAACATCATCGAATCGCAAGACCATTCTTATATTTACCCTTTATGCATTTAAAAATAATTTTTTAAAAAACATTTAATTTATTGTTTTCTAAACAAGGGAAAAACTTTTAAAATAAAATAAAAACTGAACAATAAAATGTCTTTAATATTAACCAATTGTTTGTTTGTTTGTCATGATTATGGACAAGTGCCTACTGTGCCCTGCGCACCGAGATTGTTGGTGTAGTTGACATGTGTGTGTTTATGAGTGCATTAATTGAAATGGACTATTAGTTTCACCAATCTTTCATTGATTTTTTTACTTAACTTGAATCGATTATAAAGTGATCTGTTTTAAATATTTTTAATATTTGATAATAAACGCTCAATTATAATGTTACAGTAACTGGTGTTCGAACTCATACTTCTAGAAATAATAAAAATTTATTTAATCACTGAAGTAAGATGATTTATGCATTTTTTTGTTGGATATCAATTTCATTACCCAAGAAAACATAATTCTGCTACAAAATACCAGCTCATAACAACACATCAACAACTAATAGCAAAGCAATACCAAAGGAGAACAGAAGCAAAAAACAAAGGCTAAACCGAAGACTAACAAGCAGAGAAAACACATCACTTAAGAAATACCCTAGCTAACACAAAGGGCATTGTTCCTAGAGTCGCTTATATTAATTGGCCTCCATCGAGTCGAATCTGGATATCAGTTTTAATGCTCAGCAGGAGATCACAAATCGGCCTCAGCAATCCACCATACAGCCTGTTATTCCTTTCTCTCCATATGACATACACATAGCTTGTCAGCGCAAGCTTAAACACTCTCGTGATGAGAGACTTTCCTTTAAAGCAGTGAGTAGCCCATGAAAGCTCGCCTTCCCAGTAGCCAACTCTCGGTTAACCCCACAGAGCAAAATAATGTCCTTCCACAGGCTTTTAGCATAATCACATTCAAAGAAAATGTGATTTCTAGTCTCAGGCACCAAATCACATAAGAGACATCTAACATTCTCTATTACTAGACCCATTCACATCAGTCTAACCCGGGTGGGGAGCCTATCCAAAATGGCCATCCACAGGATTATACTGTGCTTAGGGATGCACCCGGGAACCAAACCAGATGATGCCAAACAACCTTTGGAGCCACGATGCGCAAGTCCTCCCATAAACTACTATTATAGATGTGCATCTTTCATTGATTGTTTGTTTCATGAAACGTGAAAGAGTTTGTTGTGGTTTCAATATTGTTTTCTTGTAGAATAGATGTGTTAATCTCCTCATAAACTACTATTATAGTACTTAATATTTGTTTTATTCTAAATTGGCACTTTTAGTACATAGAGATAATACCATTCTAGTCGTACGTCTATAATTGGCACTTTTAGTACAAGAGATAATACCATTCTAGTCGTACGTCTATATTTATGATTTATTATTATAGGATTTATACATTTTAATTATCTCTATTGTTATTATTTTCATGACTATAATATTATTAAATGATAAATTAAGTTAGTGTTAAAAATCAATTTAATATCAATTAAATTATAAAACTATCAAAATATCCTATTTTAAATTGTAGTTTATCAATACTTACTATTGTGAATCGAACAAAATGAATTTAGAGAGTTACCCTTATAATAAATCTTTGCAGTATTCGATTCATATTATCAATTAATATTTTTTTAAATTGATTTAATCAATTAATATTTAATTACATCAAGTCTCAACCCACCTTAAAAATTGAAGAGGAATTAAACACGATAGCCTATAATATTTTAGTGAACAATTTTGAATAATTTTTTTTACATTATATGATTTTATTTAAATTTAAATATACATATGATATTTTAACTACACGCATTTCTTTAAATTAGTACCTAAATAATTTTTGCTCACAAGTTAATACTTGAATTATGTAGATTCTTTCAGATTGGTATCTAAATTTTTTTTGCTTCCAAATTAACACATGAACTAGATTTATTCTCTCTAACCCGTACCTAATTTTGTTTAAATTAATACTTAAACTTTAATCTCACTTATTATTTTGATAATTTTTTATAATATTACTTTTAACAAAGTGGCCCCATAATAATATTTTTTTACTACCAATGAAACAATCAATTTTTTTGTACCATTTGCTACACTTCCAAGATAACGAATATACTATATATTCTAAACAGCTACGATATCTATTTTAGTTTCATTTTTTTGCTAGAATTATCATTTTTATGCTAACCTGCAAACCCTAAAATGTATATACACAGTATTTTTATAATATTCGGCAAGACGTCAATATTAGGAGGTTAAGACAATCTTTTTCCTTGTAAAAAGCGATGAGAAATCTCTAAGTATACAATATATCGAAATTATCATAAACACAAAATCGATATTATTTTTCATGTGATGTATATTTGGTTGGATCGAGGTGTATCCAATTCATTATTAGTTGTATACTCGTATTAAAAGTTGGTAATCTATATGTTTAATACCCAAACTATCACTTTTGTTATGTTTTTATCACTTAATTACTTTTTAAAAAGTATTCGAACGTTTTATTTTGATCGTCTACTATATTAACTTTTTAACGATGTGCGATAGAAATGAAACTCAACCGTAAAAATATGTATGATTTTGAAAAATATATATTAGATGACCAAGATGAAACAAAATCATACATCCAAGTTGACAAAAATACCCTCATCCACCCTCTTCACCACTTTCCCACCAAACCACAAAATCCACAACCGAGCCACGCCAACCAAACGCAAGCTAACATATCTAAAGGAAAGAAAAAAAAAATAAGTTGGGCCGTGATTGACTAGGATTGTGGGTCCCATCTGACCGGATCTCAAACACGGACTTCAATCCCTTTTATAAAACTCCAAATTGGAAACTAGTCCGGGACACCCATTTTTTTTAATTATATTTTTAATTAGTAAACACCGTAATAAATTTGGGAAAAGAAATAGCCCAGTGATGAGCTAAGATTTTTCTTCCCCACGCGCCTGCGTCTCCATCGTTCCTCTCTCTCTCTCTCTCTCTCTCTCTCTCTCTCTCTGCTTTCTCGCTCTATCCGGTCTCATTATATAAACTCGTGTCCCCCCGACCCTCTCTCTCCACGACAAACTCGATCATTTGCGTTTGTTTATTTTCAAAAGCCCTCAATAATCGTCAACCCTAAAGGCCATTGCCGGTCGTGTTGTTTTGTTTTATCGTTTTCATGGACGAGTTAAACGGTAAGAAGCGAGGTAGAGAGGAGTCCAACGAGTCGGACCTGGACTCGACCGAGGTGAAGAGACTCAGAGATGATTGTTGGATCTTCTTGACGAGTCGGATTCTTTGCCTGTTAATCATGATCTCGCTTCGGTAATGAGTTTCGAAGAGGAGATATCCGTCGCGCCTTCTACTTCGACGGAGTCGGTGCAGGTTGTTGATCTTACTTCAGATTCCGGCGAGTCGAAGCCGGATCTCGGTTACCTTCTCGAAGCTTCCGACGACGAACTAGGTCTGCCTCCCCCAACGGCTTCCACTACGGGCGACGAGGGAAGTACCGAAGCGGCTGATTTGGATCGAGTCGATTCACACTCGTCCGGATTCGGTGATTTGTGGGGTTCGAGGAGCAGAACCCGAACTACGATTCCTTCGAGTGTGGATTTGTTGATGATTTCAATGTGGACCACTTCGCTTATGATGGATTGTTCGAGTATTCCGATGTATTTGCGACTCCGATATGTCCGGTCAGTTATGGCGGCCGGAAACTCTGTCGTCGGAGTAATAGTACGATCATAATTTCTGAAAAAGGAAAAAATCAAAGGAAGTTAAATACAAGGCATATCCCATCTGTAAATTGTTTTTGCCCTCTCTGGGGGTTTCTTTAGAATTTTTTATTAAATATGTTACAACATACAATTTGGCTCAGACATGTGAAATGATAAAATCTTCAGGCGTCTTAACAAAACTTATTCTTAATTATGAGCGTTAGATTTTTAAATAAAAATATTTTTTAATTATTGATATTGTGAATAATTTATATTTGATTTTCTTAATCATGGTTGTCCCTTATTCCTATATGTAATGGGGGTAAGAGGGAGGTAAGATAGTAGGCTGCCCCCAACACCAGGTTGAGAGCAACTTCCGTAGAAGACCTCCGAATTATGAAATGCCTCGATCTCACGACCTCAAGGTTAAGAACCTTGTGCTCTACCAACTGAGCTGGATAGTCATCTAAATTAATTAAAAAATCAATAGTTAAAGAATATCATAGCAAACGTGTTATGTCCGTGTGGGGCTTAAGGTATGGTGGGGTATTCCTTTATTTTAAAAAATAATAATGTAAGTGCATTTTTATTATTTAGAAAAAGTTAAATTTAGAATAATATAGGAAAAAACTAGTATTTAAAAAAAAATAGTATAAATTAATTGGTTAATATATTAAATACTAGTTATTACTTTTAAAAAAATAATTTTTAAAAAATAATTTGTAATAAATATAAGATAGTATTTATTCAAATATATTTTTTAATATTTTTCATGTTCGAATTCAATATCTTAATAAATATAATAATTTATTTATAAACATGCTGTCTCCAAATGTTTTTTTTTAAAAAACCATATTTAGAGGATGCATTCTAGAACCTTCTAGAGTTTTTATCAACAGAGATTTAGTAGTTTATAGATATAATCTTCTTTGAAGGTACAAAAAATTTAAATAAAATAAATGTTTAAATCGATTAATTAATAAATAACATAATTTTCTTCACGATTTTTTATGATTATCAGTTCAATTGTTTCTTTCATAATTTTCCCTACTTGTAAAAAATACAATAAATAAATGATTCTAAAAGCTATTTTCTATTATTTAATTTAAAATTTTAATATTATTATCAAAAAGTATTTTTAAGAAGACAAATTATTATTTTATATAATATTAGAAACGATCGATCATATTTAGTCTAAAATTACCGACGACAATTATATCTTTTAAAAGTGTAGTTTTCATTTTTTTATTCATCTAAGGATAATTATATATAATATCTGTTCAAAACACTTTTAATCCATTTGACAATAAATACTCGAACACTCTATATACGATGTGCTCGAACTAGATACTTCTAAATATAACGATCATCCTTTAACAACTGAAGTAGTTTAGTTGACATTTACAATATAATATTGGCCTAACCCTATCCCACGGTGTTATATTTGATCCCAATGATTAGAGTCTTGAATCAAAGATGGATTACCCTAAAAATGTATTTTTTTTAATTTCTCATTAAGCCCAATATCTTGAAAATGTTTAATTGAGTCACTACAATTTTTTGGAAATTGTCATAATTCGACCTCTTTTTTTTTTGGAAATTACCTTCTAGCATTTTTAAAATTTGAAAATCTTAATTAAACTTCCATTTGATTAAAAATTCAATCAGTTCCTAATTTTTTTCACCAAGATTCATCATTGAGTTGACTCGGACTGTGAGATGGAATTACGTGCTTATACGTTTGTGGGAAAGGAAAAGAAAAAAGGAACTCTAAAAGAAGAGAGCCCTAAGCAATGAGTTTTTTAGGGTAAATATGAACGAGTTCGCTCTACATTGTTTTTAGGGTGCCTAGTTTTACGTGGGCTAAAATAGATTGGCCCGTGACTCATTTTGAGTTTTAGGTATATAGAGTCCAAATTTAGTTATCCAACAAGAATATTTTCTATAGTCCATTTGATCATCTCTTCATATTATACATAAAATATATATCCAAATTTCAAAGTTGTTAACATTAAGTCAGCTTAATGGTTAAATGAGTATTTTTCTTTATAAAGATATTAGGATCGAGTAACTGCGTAGGGTGTATACGTGTTATCAGTGATTCAAAAAATTATAAATAGATACTGAAATTGAGCACATGCATAGGGTGTGTGTATTGCTCTTCGCAGAGATATTGAAATCGAACATGACTTAAATTTTAAGATAAACTACATGTTTAGTCGCCATGTTTAACATTATATTTTTAAACTTTGTTCAATTAGATCATTTGGTTGTTGATTTGTTAAAAATACTTTTTGGGGGTTAATTTATGCAATACTCGAAAAATCTCTCTTAAATTCAAATTTTCAAATTCATTTTGAATTGTCAACATCAAATATACTCTTTCAAATCTAAACGATAAGAATATCGACAAATATAAGAAAATCAATATATTTTAATTCACGATGATCATACGGTGAAAATTGTCGATCATATCAAGATAAAAATTACGCTGAGTTTTATCGATTTAAAAAAAAACTATAATTTTATGTTAATTTTAAAAAATAAAAGGATTTAAAACGTAGCGTATTGATATTGACATTAAAGATTAACGTTTGATTGATCTATACGAAGATAATTCAATAGTTTAGTAATAAAATTTAATTATTTTTATAATTTAATAACTTGAATAAGAATAAGTTAATATTTATTTTTATACAACGATCGATATCCGATTTATTAATCAGTTAATCTAGAATTGAATAACACAAATACATGAATGATCATTCTTACTCAGTTTACTTCATTCGTAAACATTAGAATTTGAACGCCTGATATTTTGATCCTATGTTATGCCGTGCGACACTCGAATGATACTCGTCTCATACAAGTCAACCTTGCCTTTAATGATATTTGACTCATCTTAACCCGTCATAAAATCGTACCACACTCAACAAGAGTCATTCCCTCATTCATTAGTCAATCCCATCTTAACCTGCCCACATAGACAAGCGTCGTATTAGTCCACAAATCACAATATAATCTCAAACCCACAGTACTATTGAAAGAGAGATACCGCAAGACATAACAAATGTTAGCTTACAATCTCGCTCCTCATCCAAGAGCGTGATATGAGATCCACAAATCTTAAACTATCATTAAGTATAGTCATAGAAAAACATTATATCATCCACTTGATCCCAATGTCCGAAAGTCTAGATTCTACATAAACCTGGAACAAAATCGTTTACCCATAAATAACGATTGTTGTAGCACGGCAGTTCCCTCACGTCGGTACCAAATATTTACATGGTTCGTGACTTTGCTTTGGGCTAACACCAAAGACCAAACTACTCCTTCCAAGTACCAACTCCTTGGAAATTTCTTTCTAAATTTGCAGAGGCGTGGATCCATTAGTCATGCCACACCTTGCACGTGCGACATACGCACACATAAACAGTGTGTTATCTATCAGCTGATGGTGCATGTATTTAATATATTATTATCGTATTTAAGTTATTAGAATTTTTAACATTTTGAAATAAATATATAATATGTAAATCATTATATTCATAAAATAAATAGATAATTAATAGGGTGAGTTTAGTTCACGGAATGTAAGATTACCAGTGAAAATAAAAGATTACCAGAGAATAGGATTACTGAGAATATTGTATTTTGTGTTTGATTAGTTTAGCAGGAATGTAAGATTACTGTGTTTGGTTAAAGGAATAAAAGATTATGAGAATGTATATTTGACCAAATTATCCTTATTATATATATGTTTTTTTAACAAGTTGAATATTTATATATTTTCTTTAAAAAATATAAATTCATAAAATTTATATATTTTTTTTACAAAATTAAAAATATAAAAAGGTTTAATGGAAGAGTAAAATTTTATTTTAATCCCTGAACTTTATATAAATTTTAATTATAGATTTTTTTGTAAATCTAAAATAGTTTAAGGATAAATTTGTAATTTAACCTTCGTATATTTTTTATTATTTAATGACAGAAGAAGAATATTTTGAAAAATAATTTAAGGGCATTTTAGTCCAAAACGCAGGTAATCCAACAATACTTAAGGGAAGGGTAATGACATTCCCGGTAATATACCCAAAAAATCCAATATTAATAATAAAACATTACCTAAAATAAAATTTTCGATCAACCAAACATGAGAATGTAGATTTAATTCCCATGAGAATTCCATATTCCCCGAACCAAACAGCCTCATAGTAAAATAAAAATAAACACTTGGATAAATTACTATTCACCGACATTCAATTTAATCCACGTGTCAGATGATTACCCATTGTGCTCATACTGGTTTCAGATTTAGAGTGTCGCACTAGATATTCCTTACTTGCCAACGGTTCTGATTTTATCCCCGTATATAAATAAGATCGGCGGATTTTTATTAAGAAAAAGGGGGAAAAAAAGAGAGAAAAGAAACAGGGTGTGCGACAGAGATCCAATTCGCAGAAGATGAAGGTTTTCGTCAAGACTCTCAAAGGCACTCACTTCGATATTGAAGTCAAACCCGAAGATTCGGTTTGTTTCTTTTTTTCTTCTTTTAATTTACGTTTTCCCCTATTTTGAATGTCAATTAGGGTTGTACGATTATAATCCGCTTATATTTTTTCTGATTTTTGTGCACTTGTTTGTATTAGCTTCCATGGAATTGAAATTTGGGGATCTTTATTATTGAGTGATTTGTTCAATTTTTTAGTATCAATTTTTTCTGATTTTTGTGCACTTGTTTGTATTAGGGTTAAGTGGCTGATAACTCGTATAGTTAGTTGTGGTGCCATTTCTTCTGGGCGGGGGAGGGTTAACAATTGCCTATAACTTATTAAGTTATGGGCCGCAAGCAGGATGGGAGCAAGTATGTTTAGTGAGGAAAAGGAATTGCTCTATTTGATTAAGCTGTGCCCTTTATTACAAATGTATTGATTGTATATATCGCTATGTCAATGTTATTTTCTGTACCAGATCTAAGGTTTGAGCTGAGAACATACAAGCTTTGAACATTAACATATGCTAATATATTGTTTTATCTAAAAAATGCTCTTCCATTTGGGACTGGACTTTCTTCAATCAGTGTGAGTATGGCACCAGATTGAAGGTATAGAGGTTATTTTTGTAAAATTTTCTAAATAGGTTACTGTTGTGAGA